GAGGGAAATAAGCCACCGCTGTGCTCCCGTGGAGATCTGTCGTGTCTGTACGTGCTGGTTGGAGGGTGTGCTGCTGGTCACCCTGCTCCCGGCTGGACTGGGACTCCAGGTGGGAGAGGGACTGGGACCAGCATTGTTTCCTTGTCAGGTTTGCACCCTGAGACCCTCCAGTGAGATTGTCCTTACGCCCCGTGCTGGCAGCACCAGTTACAGGGTTTATATTCCTCAAACTGGGCACCAGCAGTGGGCAGAGCCCTAAAACTGGATTTTTCTGAAGCTGTGCAAAGTATTTAAGATTTGTCCTCAGCATGCCCAGCGTAGTCACCCATGTCACAGCGTTTGCTTTGAGCTTCAGCAGCCCGGCAGCTTTAGATCAGACACAGACCATCTGGGGAAGCTGCGCCAAAGACAGTTTGTGCTTTTTGGTCGAGGATTTGGTGTCACCCATGGCACACAAGTGGCTTCCCAACAGGACACGCACATAGTCTGGCTGGTGGCAAACACAGCTCAGGCTGCCGGACACCTCCTCCTGCCACGGAACCCCGCTGCTCGCCACGGACCAGCACCAGCCTCTGCTGGGATGCAGCCAAACATCCCGTGGGAGCCCTGGACTGAGAATCTGGCCACAGCGGTGCCTTGCTGCCAGGCATCTCTCTTGGCTTGAGCTGGAGCAAACCAAGAGAATATTGTAAACTGGGCTGTGTCAGCTGGGGCTGCAGAGGAATTTGCTCATTCTCCCCCTTGGGAGGTGTTTCTGGACTAGCTAGGCATCTGAGCATCTGGAGGAAGGAAGCTGGATTATCCACGAAAAATTAAATGTTCTAGAATGGTAAATTTATAAGCAATTCTGCATTTATTCCTCTTCCACGGAGAAATTTCAAGGCAGAGGGGATTATGTTTCTACGCATTAGTCCCAGTGTATCCCGGCTTTTTGCTCTGATAGTGGCTCCGTGGCACTGAGCGCCCCTGTTTGTGCCAGGGAGGGTGACCCCCACATTCAGAGCTACAAGAGGAGCATTCGGTCCCGAGAGATACCCAAAAGGTTTAGCAAAGCTGCTGTCATGACCACGCCTGGTTTGGTGGAGAGCAGCGATCAAAGCAGCACAGGGGCTGCCATAAATCCACCCCCAAAGTGACAAGTGATGCTGGGAAGGCAGAATGGGGAGGAATAGCTGTCCTGTGTGGCACTGGTGATATGGATTTTTCTGGGAAAACCTCCAGTCATGGCAAAATGCTCTTGTGTTTGTATGAACAAATAGCTCCTGGGAAATTAAAGTTGCTGATGTGCTTTTTGCTGTTAGGATGATGCCGCCGTTACAGCCTTTGCTGGCAGAGCAATGCTGTAAAATCCCCATGTCCAACCAAAAACAGCCAGCAGAACCTCCCCACCCAGGGAGGGGGAATCCAGAAATGGGCTCCTGGTACCTCCACACCCTCTGCTCCGCTCGGGGATCGTCGTCTGGGAGCACGGCTGTGGCTTCTGCTCAGATGTGGACGCTTTGTAGTGTACCTCGCTACTTGTCCCCAGAAAGAAAGTGTAACGGGCAGCAGAGTTAGGAAGTTGAAAGCAGGATTAAAAGTCAGTGGACTCACTATTTTTTTTTCCCTTCTTTTTTTCAAGCATTCTGCACAAAGTCTGAAGCAGTCCTTTGAGCTGTAAGAGCACACCCAGCGAGCACACACAGGGGGCGAGGGGAACCTTCCATCCCCCGCGGAAATCTTCTCCAAGTTGTGCCCGAGTTCCCGAGATCACGTCAAAGGGGTGCCGCTGGAAGGAAGCGATGCTCTGCCTGAAGTCCTACAGAAATCCAACTGGAGAATCCCTCTGCCCGGCAGTGACAACAGGCACGCCGAATGCTCATGATCCCATCTCACGTCCCTGCACGCCTGCCGGGGGAGGATGGCCAGTCCGCGCGGTGTTTTCTCCTGTCAGGGGTGAAATGAATGTTTAAATTGCTGAGCGATAATGCAGGAGCTGCTTAATTCGTCAGGGTGACTCACGCAGGGTGGGATTAAATGGAGGGATTATGTCCTGATGCAGTTCCTGTGCTCTCCTGCAGCAGCGGGTTCCTCCGAGAGGCACGGGCAAGGCGGAGGTGGCTTCACAGCAGCAGCGCTGCTCTGCGCTGAATGAGAAACCAACCTGCTCATTAAGCTAAAGAGTAAAGAGGATTAAAGCCTCGCCTTACCCACAGCTTGTCATTCGCGGTGTCCATCTGTGGCAGTTTTCCTGGTGTTTCAGTGTCTGTTTTATAACAATATAAACACCCTGCGAAGGGCTGAGGCAGAGCCACCATCCTTGGAAACCGCGGCGGTCTCTCAGCATTGCCGCAGGAACATCAGCCCCGGCCGTGCCCCTTGTCTCTGGAGCCCCGATGCACAGATCTGGCACTGTTGTACCACTTATTTATTAAAATTGAAAAGCCTCTGAAGAAAAAGCAGTGTTTATTGCGGTTTGCGACGATGCAGATGTTGTCTGCGCCGTTGGGCGAGACAGGCTGTGATGGGAGGATGTGAGATGATGCGGAACGGTGTGCGGGATCTGATGGGGAGGAGATGTTGCTCCTTAAAAGCTTTCTCCCTCCAAATTGATTCAGAAAACTGTGCTTTGAGATGGGACACAGGCCCACTCAAGTCTCCAGGACTGTCAGGGAAGTGGAGGTAAGGGTGAGCGAGCCCTGGGGTGGGAGGATGGGATGTCGGTGCTTCCTGCTGCAAACAGTTTGGCTGGATTTTAGCAGAACCCCTGGGTGGCCACTGTTCGTGCAGCTGAACCGGCGGGTGGTTGGGAGTTTGGCTTAGGGGAAATACTGTGCGGGGGGTGAGGCAGTGGCCCAGGTTGTCCAGAGCAGCTGTGGATGCCCCATCCCTGGAGGGGTTCAAGGCCAGGCTGGATGAGGCTTTGGGCAACCTGGGCTGGTGGGAGGTGTCCCTGCCCATGGCAGGGGGTGGCACGGGATGGGCTTTAAGGTCTCTTCCAGCCCAAACCATCCTGTGATTCTATGATTCTAAGATTTACTTGTAGCTCCTACAAATGCCTTTACTCCTGCTTCCACAGGACTTTTACGACAGAGAAAATCTCGTGCGCTTCAGGGATGCACGCACACAGGGAGCTACAGTTGCTTTCTGCTCGCCCCAGCTCCTCCCAGCCCAGCTCCTACTGGCATCCTCCATTTTCCCGATGTTTCAATGCTCTGCAAAAGGTTTGCACTGGGTGGGGAGGACATCAGAATCCTAGCGAGCCTGGAGCAGACACAGTGACAGCTCCCAGACAGGCCTGGAAAGGAGGAGATGCCTTCAATACTGAAATAATGTGCCCAGCCCTCGCAGGGCCATGACATTGTCCCCTTGGTTCATCCTTGGTGACTAACTCGCACCTGAAGAAGCTCCTGTGTCCTGTGAAGTGCTGCAGACTGGGGATTTCTTGCTGGAAGGGAAGGGCGAGCTCCATTTTCAGCGATGTGCAGCGATGTTAACACCTCCTGGTGATTCATCTCGTAACCCAAGGGAACCATTAGATGATTAGGAGATTAGCAGCAGTAAAAGATCCTTGGCACGCACAAACAGATCCAGCTAGAGAGCTCCCAGAAAGTTCTAGCTGTTAGGTGAGTGTGCGGCCAAAACATTAAAATAGATTTACTGGTTTTGCTAAGCAGGGAGGTGGATTAGACCAATTAATCCTGCTATAAGGTTCCTCCACCGCCAACATCTGAGTGCGGAAGGTGCAGAGCCTCAGCAGGCAGGGCAGGAGCTGGACACGGAGCATCTTCCCTCCTCGTACTGGGAGTCTGAGCAAACCCCCTGTGCAGTGCTCCAGAACAGCCAGCTGGAGAGGGGTAAGTCCCTTCTCAGCTTTGTAAAAGGACTGGAGTACCTTTCAGCCAGTGATCTCATTACGCTGGAAGACATCCAGGGACTGTTACGGGAACCGTCACCAATGTTATGAGTCTTGTTCTGAAACACCTTACATTTTTTTTTCTTTGCAACGAGTGAGTACGTACATGTGAGTGTGTCCACTGATGTGTTGTCCTTTCAGGACTCGTTTTTAGGTGTGCAAGGATTTCTGGTGCTCACCCAAAATCATCAGATCCTGTGTTGTCTGAACACAACGCAAGGAGAAATGACACCTCCCCTGGGTCCCAGTATCTCTTTCCTCACACTGGGTATGCAGCCAAGTGAGCAATTCGCTTCCTGTTTTCAGTTTAAGACACATTCGAGAAGTAGTTTTGGCACCACTGGTGCAGCTGTGCAATGGAGCCGGGAGCCTTTGCCAGCTGCCAAAAAGCAGCAGCTCTGTGCTCGGAGAGGGCGACCAACCGCCTTTGGTAGCACAGCCTGTGCTGGTGGCCTCTTGGATCCACACTGTTCCTCTTGTTGGGAAAAGTGTGTAGGATTATGTCCCTCTGGTGCTGTAGAGGATTAGCCCAGAAAAGAATCGGCTCCAAACTGGAACTGAAAAAGCAGCTACTGAATACAGTCAAGAAGAAAACCAGTTCAGTCAGGCAGGAACAGAACTGGGAGCTGCCGTGTTTCTCACCCTTCCAATGCAGCAACAGGGAGGGATGTCCAGTGGGGTAAGGACCAGCCTTTGGCGCCCTCCTAATACAGGGTTCGCTGGTTTATGAAACTCCCGCAACACCTCTCCCTTCCCTGCTCAGCACTGAAGATTTAACTAGAAAGCAAAGACAGAGGCTGTGATGTACAGCCAAAGGAAAATTAACCCACTCTTTAAATGTGTGGGACAAAAGCTGCGATCCTGTGTCTGTAGAGAACTCAGCAGATTAAGCCCCTTCATACTAAAGCATTAGTCGTATATTTTACAGTGTTTGTGCTCACAGTGCCGATTCACTGGCTGGGACTCAAAAGCTAAGCTCAATAAATATCTAGTGAAGGAAGAACATACTGTATGACATTATTCCAAGAGCTGTTTGCTTTATTCTATTTGGGAGCGAGCTCAACTGTGTCTGTGCTTTAGCTGTCAATTAATGTGCTTTCCTGCATTTTGAATTAAAAAGGGTTGTCTGCAGGCTCTGGCAGGGAGGCTGCAGAAAGTCTTGACAGGGCAATTGATGATGCTGCCAGTGCTTGCTGCTGAAACTCATCACACCTGTGCCTGAGCCAGAGAAAGAGGGTGTGACAGCCCCTGCTGCAGCGTGAGGGACGGTCTTACGCTGCCAGTGAGGATCAATTTGGCAGCTGTGGTGTGGGCAGCTGAGTAGTTGGGGTGGAAAACTTCAACAGAATGGGGAGAAGTGCAGCCACCAGTGAATTGTACCTCTACCATGCTCTGACTGCTCTAATCAGCATGTACTTAAATAGATTTATTCAATGTATATTTGCCTTCACTCTGCGTTTCACACTTTATTGCTCATCCGCACTGGCAAGGTGGTTTCCAAAACCAAACAGACAGGAAAGCATGGTGCTGTAGCTCTTTTGTGTGCTGAAGTGAAGTGACACTACCTGACCTGGACAGCAAAAACAGGAAAGGGAACTCAAATGCAGAGCATCCCCAAATTTGGTAAATTTTTTACAGAAATATCCAAAAGAAACAGGTGGCACCATTAAAAATGTGTATATGTTTGGTGAAAATATCTTCCTGACACCCAGCACAAAACCAGCGCCCAGGAGCGGCACCTGCTCAGCATGCCTGTTAGAACTTTATGAAATTCCTTATTTTGTGCAAAAATTTTTCCTTCTTGGTCTCAGAAAGACCACCACTCATGACCAGGCTTGAAGTGTAATCACTAACTACAGGATTCAAGTTTTGTCTCCTGCTCTTAGGTCTCAGTACCGCTGATGTAAGCAGTTTTGCTGAGTGCACAAGACAGACCTCATACCTCTGGACTGTCTCTTCTACCTCGGTTATACAACAGGTAAGAGTTCTTGGGTTAAAGTAGTTTTTAAAGCTTTATTGGTCTAAATTAAAAAAGTACAAAACATTTTTACAATGGAACCTGGTAATTTTTCTCTAATTTAGCAAAACCAAGGGACTCTTTGCACGCAGAATTCAGGACGCACACGGAGCTGCTGACCTCGCGCACCAGGGCTGCACTGGCCCGAACGCAGGCTTCTGCGCAGGGAAACATCTAACTCGCTGCAGGGGCTGCGGTCTTCTGACACAGCTTGGCCAGCAGTCCAGCCATTTGTAACAGGGAGTTCACACCTTCTGCTATCCTCATATGGGTGTATCCGATTTCCTGGTGATAAAGACATTGTAAAATCCCCTGTTCGCTCCCCCAGTTTATGTATAGTGTGACTAATGACTACACAGAACACGGCCCTGACTGCTAAGAGACCAGCTTCAGAGTCACGTGAGCTTGAGAAGCGTACCTACTCACATAGACCAACTAGAATGCCTTTTTTTCTTCTTTTTTTAAATCAAAGCCTGTATTTCCCCACTTTCTTGGTAAGGAGCCAGGTGCATAGATCTGAGGATAGGTTTTAAATCTGAAGAGTGATTCCATTACCCCAGTTTACCATTTGTCAACTGGCTGTTAATATCATTTAATATTTTACTACCTATCGGAAGTATGCACTTAACAAAAGTTCTCAAGGAGTTATCTGAGGCTTTGATGTAACTACTAAATTCAGCCAGCATTATGTTTGTTATTAATTCCAGTTGATCACTAAAGTGACTTTTAGCACTCCTATGGGTAGTTAGACTTCAAACTCCAAGTGACCATTCTAACTGACAAACTGATGATGCAGAGTGGGAAAGAAATCAGTAATAAGAAGTTAAGAAATACTTTTTTGTACTAATATATAGTAAACCTCAAACAGAAAACCCTGAGGCTGCCCCTGTATTCAGGATCACATCCTCTTCTTAAAAAGGCCAAAAAGACCCCACCTGGAGCTAGGTCAGTACTAACCTTGATAAATTCCAGTTTCAGATATTCTGGCATTTGAAAGGTTTTACACACACGGAAGATGTTGCCAATCACATCTTCTGGAGCGTATCCAAGTCGCCACAGGTGGGCAAGAATCTGTGTGGGCAAGAATAACCCTACATTTATCTGCAAAACTTATCAGGTGAGTCAAGCATATGCCTTGTTGGAACAGCTGTATATAACTGCATGTACTATTTATCAAATGATTTAACCTCAATTGTTGAGCAAGTAATTTCAATACAGCTTGCTGTTTTGCTTTTGGCTTATTTATCTGAACAAACCCCTACATAAAAAGGGACTTAACTCATCAATTCACCTACATGGTATTGCCCTGATCTTAAAAAACAACACACACTGTGAATTCCTCAAAACAAACAAGAATTCTGTAGAGAAAAAGTGTTGGTGTGTGCAGACACAACACATGAAAACCAACCTTGTACGCTTCATCAATATTTGCATTTATGCAGTGCTGTATCATTTCTTTCACAAGCAGAGGATGAGGCTCGTCACATACCTGCAGCAAAGAGAAATATTGCACTTCAACATATTAGAACGCTCTGCATTAAACCCCTGGTATTTTCACCAAGCTTCTATACAGCTGAAGTACTGAATCAGACACATTCTATAATACAGATTAAATTTTAAGTAATCTGACTTTTCTGGTAACACAGCTACCCTGCCATGGCAGATTCAATAGCAAGAAATGAGAACACCCAAGTAATAGATTCCAAAGTTATCACTGTGAAATTTCCCAGCAGTTACGTGATCCGTGTGCTTTGAGAGAACTGGAAAGCCACAATGTCTCAGAGGTGCCATTAGGGACTGCGAGGCTCTCTCCCTTTTCAAAAGGCACACACACTTTTTTACAGCCTAATGCTGTAATTGCTACCAACACAGTGCTGGCTGCAAACTGGCCAAGTGCTTTCAAAGGCTTCAGTATGTGACCAAAGGTCTCACACAGCCGTAGTGCTAAACTTCCAGCATCGCTGTTTTACACTATTACTAACCTTAAAGACATTTTCACTGTTTATAAAGCCAAATCCAGAATATGTGGACTGTAAGTTGTTTAATGCCTGTGAAAGAAAAAATAAGACTTCATTTATTTTCTGACGTGCTCTGCTTCTCACTCCCCTCCTCAGGGTGACATACACTTTTCAGAAAATGAGGCAAATAAGCAGTTTGCAATTAAGTGAGAGAAAACAGTATGCAGACTGTGTCCTCCCACAAATTTGGTATCCAGTTCCCACCAATTCACTCTTAAGGAGGAGATCCACCCTAAAACCCCACAAAACCAAATAGTTTAGTTACTCTTGTGCCACAGGTCACATCTCCTTTGCTTTGCCTCTCCAAAGATAGAAACCCTTGAGAGCCACAATTCAAAGGTTTTTTTGCTTTCAGCAGAAGCCATTGTTTGATTGCCTTTCTTCTTTTACCTGTCTCATATCTCCCTGGGCTGTGAAGATAATGGCTTCTAGTCCATCATCTGTATATGGTACATCCTCTTTCTCAACAATTTTCATTAGCCTCGCAAGGATTTGTGAATCTGTCAGCTTGGTGTAACGCAGCACTGCACACCGGGATTGAATAGGTTCTGAGGACAGAGACACGTAATGAGCATTTCCCTCCTTTCTCAAAAAAAACCCCATTTGACTTCATCTTGGAAGAAGATAATCTCAGCTTCCAACTCTTCATTTGTCTTCTTTTAAAGAACAGGTCAGCTCCAGACAGAATATAGCATCTCCTTAAGCATATACAATTGTTACAGTCCTTCCTTGAGCCCAGATGCAGTACTTGAGTTTTCCCAGATATGTGCAAATATACATGGAAGCTCAGCTTCTTCTGTTCTCCTGGATATTCTGAATGTCTGTGTTTATTATTGCTAAACAAGAAAGTCTAAAGGTCTACAATGTGTTAGCTTGTAAGCAAAGTTTTATGTTTCAGAAAGCAGGACAACAAAAGGGATTCAATACCCATTATCCAATACACCAAACATCTTAAACTGCAGCAGAGTTGGATGGAGGTTAAGCCCAAAGTATAAGAAATCTGCTTCTGTAGTCATGCATAGCACTATCCATCAAAACCAGCCGTTCAGAGGGTTCACCGGCTACACAAATATACTCTTATTAGCTGGATGTACAGGTGGTTTGATTTTTCAGAAGTACCATGGTTTCTTGCCACAAGCAGGTCCAAGGTATTTCTCACAACTGCCTTGGAAGTTAGCCAACAGTATGGAGAACATACGACAAAAACTCCCAGGGACTAACAGCACTTTACCTATGATTTTGTCAGAGGCATTGCACGCAAGCGCAAAGCGCGTTGTTTTGGAATAAATTTCCATTGTTCTTCTCAATGCTTGCTGTGCTCCATCTGTCATGCTGGGAGAGAAAAGAGTTAGGACAGATTTTGCCCTTCACTGACTTACAGGTGCAGCCTAATAGCTATTTTTATACAAGCTTCAGAGTTTACTGATATTAAACAGTACTTTGTAAATTACTTGATATTCTGGCTTGATAAACTAAGCAGCTTTTTCTAGTCATGTGAACAAATCACCCCTCAGTGCAGGTAATCACCAAGACCTCTGTAAAACTAACGTGCAAAATTAAACCATTAATATGCTGAAGAATATTGCTAAGAATGCTACGACTTATATACAGGTGAAAGAGAATGTCCTGTTTTCACCCAGTGAAATTGTCTACGTAAGCCAGGTTCTTTTCAAAAAGAACCAGTGAAATGAAAGATGCTCTCTCATATTCAGCTGAATCCTGAGGTCCATCTCCTTTGAAGCAATGGCCTCTGCTTGATATGAGTAATCTCACAATAACACTGTTCAATGCATATTAATTTCCTAAAAAAATAATTTTTGATAGACTGATAGAAATATCTAAGACTGTCCAAGACAGCAGCTCTGCTGACAGGACACACAAAATGCATTTCACATAGAAGCTGAAGTTAAGAAAAAAACAACATACCTGTCTGCTTCATCAAGGATGATTATTTTATGCCGACCTTTTGGGAGTGTGACCTTCTGCTGGGCAAACATTTTGATTTTGTTTCTCACAACGTCAATGCCTCTGGAACAATAATTGAAGTGATTCATGATCAGATGGGTGAAATGGACTTTATTCAGCAGCTGCAGTGGCTGAAGCACTCCTGAGCTCCCTATTCTCCCACCGTTTGATCCTGCCCTGTCAGCTGTGCCACTGTAACTGTTGTGCAACCATGTTGTAAGCCAGACTGCCTAACTAATTCAGATGTAAACACCAATGTTCCTCATTTTTGGAGGCTTTGAAAAAATAATTTAACAGTATCTGTATATATATATATATCAGTAATCTTACATACTGCCACAAAATTACTTATGTTTGGCAAAATGTAAGAGTAATAAATGAACAAAGGCAGTAACATTTAATACTGCTTTGCCAGTACTTCACACAGCTACATCCACAGACCCAGCTGTAACTCACAAGAGTTTAAGAAAAATAGCTGGACAAACTGCATCACTTTAGCATAACATGGGTGCTTTCCTTCACAGAGTCCCAACAATACAATTTAAAAAAATTAAAAATTAAGCATTTTACTTTTTCGTGAGTGTTGTGATGCTATAGCTCTTCTATAACTGTTATTAACAAAGGCAGGTAAAATGTATTGTACTCATAAACAACCCTCCAGTAAATATCCTTAGAATACTTCTGGATGGCTCTGCTACAGAACTTGGGAAATATAATCAGCCCCTAGTGCTTGATCCCTGAAGTAGAGTCAACGTCCTCTACACACCTCACACCCTTATCTTCTATTTTAGTCCCCAGCTATCCTTACAGCACTAGTTTCTATCACTTCACTTTTTTTCTATAAGCATTGAAGAGTCCCATTATGAACAGCTTGTTCACTTTTCATTCTTAGGAGGATCTTT